GCAGACTGGAAACCTATGGAAGCCCTGAGAGGCGAGTGGAAAAAAAACAAAAAAAGTTTTTTGGGTGTTTGCTTTTGTAGTACTCATTTTGGCCAGTGCATCACTACCCCAGGACTAAATATAGGGCTTTGGCAGGGGGGTTTTTTGTGGTCGATAACAGTATTACAAAACCAAACACTTTGAAAAATCCTAACAATTTTTTTTTCACTTGCCTCTTCTGGGCTTCTGTTTAATTTATTGCTCAAATAGCAAATGTCCATGGATGTTGCAAAGATTATGGGCCACACCAGTAGTTCAGAGGTGCTGTTATTATGGGAAAACATACCTCTTTTTTTTTAATGAGTAATCGATTATTAATTATCCTCTGGTGTTGGGCAGCTAGTTTGCAGCTGCTGTTGGTCACACTGAGACAGAACTACACAGGAAATGCGCCATAAAACCAAACCTAGGAGGTAAAAGAGGCTAAAAACGCTGTGATGCTGCAGTTTAAAGAGAATAATTTACCAAGAATCTTAGTCACCCAGCTCCATGATTAGAAAATAACAGAAACATCCTGTAGATGACGGGAAGACACAGTCGTGACGATGTTGGCGTAGTTTTCTGCCCATTCAGAGGCTGACCCTTCTCCTTGGAGCAGCTCAGCATCACGGCAGTCCAGCAGCGTCCTGTCAAACAAAATGTCCATCAGCGGAGTCAGGGTTTGTCAGTTTAATAGTGTGACTCAGCGCCCGTCACAAAAACACAGTTAGACGCCGTGGCCTCAGAGGGAAGAACTGCTCCAGAGGAAGAACTGTGTGTTATTGTGTCTTTTTTAACCCCCCCCCCCCCAAAAAAAAAAAAAAAAAAAAAAAACACAATCTGCTTTGGATAATGTTGTTTCCAAACACTGCTGTGGTCAGTTTTCCCAGTGGCGGCGTGTTGTGGGCTTTCTAATCGAGCCTCTGTGGACCCGACAGGAAGCCGCGGTCAAGGGCGTTTGATTCTGTTAATTGCTTCTCGGGAGGTTGGACGTGGGCGGCGTGCAGAAAACAAGAGGTGGAGGCTCAGAGAATGAAGAAAAGCTGTCCTTGTTTCACAATTAAATGCCTGCTTGTGTTGTTTGGCAACACACACACACACACACACACACACACACACACACACACACACACACACACACACACATACACAGGGTGTTAAGCTAGCTAACCTACAACAGTATTTTTTGAATTCCCTGCATCACTGACTTCACAGACCTCAGCACCTCTGCACCTTTGTTTCTTCAAACCTCTTCACAGCCTGATTATCACTCGATCACGTGCTTCAGTAATACGCCACTCATTCTCTTTGAACCAGTTTTCATTTCCTCACTCACCCGGTCAGCATTTTAACTGCTGACTAAACTTAATGTTTGTGTCATTATGAGCCGGTGAACAGTTCTAACCACCAAAAGAACCCTGATGTTCTATTTTCATGGTCTTTTAGACATTGTAGACATTTTTTGACACTATAGGACATCACACATAGTGAATGTTAGATTTCTTCTTTCTACAAAGGTCCAAATGACATAAATTCTGTCAGCTACTAATGTAACGTCTGTTAATGCAGATGCTGGCATGAGCTGTATGAGTGTTTTTTTGTTTGGTTTTGTTTAATTCTGTAGTTATTTTACAGAACAATACAGTGCCTGACAGGACCTCATACCCTAAAAAATAAGATGATAATAATAATAATCAAAATAAATAAGTAGAGAGACACAAATTTCTCAAAGGAAGGTATTTGCAGTAAAACAGTGGCCAGTATACAGGAACAATAAAACTGACAGTTTTGTTACAACAATCCATTGCTATATGTGTGTTTTCCTTCAAAGTAGAGGTGATTGTACATTTTCTGTGGCCCCTTAACTCCCGCTAGCTTCCAATCCCTTTTAATGTCTGCCAAAAAAAATCTTAATTTTTAATCCTCAAACTAAATAAATTTGGTCTATCATTATTGTTTGAAGCACTTTCTGTCTGTATTGTCCAAAATATTAGTTATTTTATTATTCTGGGATATGTATAAAATATATATTTTTTTTTTTTCCCTATTACTTTGAAGCACTTTTAAAGCTCCATATAGTCCAAAGGTAGATGTCCATGTGTTGTCTGACTGCCTCAGTCCACAGAGAAATGCTCACAGCCTGCATTCAGACACTGAGCCTTAAAACCAGCCGTCAGGACTTCTGGAACTTTGTGATGTCACCACAAAGCAGTCTGAGATGGTTTTTGGTTCTTAAACCACAAATATATCTTCTTATGGATCAACACTTAAAAATAAAACACAGGAGAAGAGGAAATATGGACCTTTAAGGTCACTACTTCCAAACATTCAAAGCCAAGGCAGTAATATTTATAGTTGCACCATTAGACAAAAAATTTCTACTTATTCCATGCATCATTTCCTTCACATTTCCTGTGATTCATTACATGTGCTACATGAAACCTGCAAGGTCCTAACAAGAATTTAAATGACACGTGTGCCTGGTTGAACAGTGTCCATCACTCTTCAGGAAGAGTTTAACACTTATTTTGTATTTTTCTCCAACTGCCAATCATCACAAAAAAAATCTCAATTTTTTCACTACATTTGCTGTGGCTAATTCATTAAACAACACAGGCCCACCTTCTATTACAGGGGAGATTTTCATTTTTGTCTCATTTTCCTGCTTCTAACAAGCAATAAGCATCTAATTTCCCCTGAACCGCCTGCGTGGGCCTGCTGTAATTGCGTTGTTTCCCTCCTGAGACCCGGCTGCCCACAGTCCATCTATGACTGGGCTTATTGCTGATTTACAATTGCATTATTTTATCAATATAACTCATAACTAGGGGACTGGCTTGGTCTCTCCTGCAGGAAATGACAAACTTGGACGCAAGAAGTCGTATCTTGCATGTAGAGCTGTCGGATCAACAGGGCGGCGGTGGAGCAGAAATCGAAAGCTAACTGAGGAGAGCAGTGGTTCATTTGTTCAAGTGCTAATGCCTGTCCTTTTCCACACTGAAATGTCTAAACACATCTAGACCTATGTTCTAAATGTTGTTGAGTTGTGGTTTTACATTATCCCTTATGTTTCCATCAATTCTCAAACCAGAGAAATCTGTGATTTTAATCATAACGTAACGTTTAATTTGGTCACATTTCAATGACATCATATCTTCTATGATCATGTGTCACTGTTGTGTTTGTCTACAGAAGCTGAAATTGACTTTTATCAGGATTTAACTCACATTTTTAATATTCACTTTTCACACTTTGGTGATTTTCAACTATATATTTGTACCAGATGAAGGATTTTAGTCATCGGACGTCTGGGGTTATCAGAGAAAAAATCTGAGGAAATGTTAGACAGCTCAGCTCCGCAACATCCTGAGTCCGCTGAGCTGTTTCGGTGAATCACTGATTTTTAAAGTGAAGCTGCTTTATTCAGTGATTCTACCAGTTTTAATCCCCTGGTCTGTTTGTCATGCAAAGGAGGAAACCAGTAGAAACACCCATAAAGCAGTTTAAAATCAGTGATTCAAGGCTCCCCAGTGGTTCAACTGGTAGAGTTCATACCATAATGGCTTAGTCCTACTTGCAGCAACCCAGGTTCAAGTCTGTCCCGTGGCCTGCATGTCATCCCCTCTCTCTCTCCCTGACATTCCTCTCTCTCTCACTGTAGCTGTCTGAATAAAGTCAAAAAACACATGACGTCTCGGAGTAGCTGGAAACTGAGACTGCTTAGCTTTGTTTCTCTGAAAACTTATGAACCAGACGTTTAACTAGTTTTTAACAGCAGCCCAATTATCCGCAGAGGTGTCCTCCTCTCCATAACAAATGGACCAGGGGATTAAAACTGGTAAATTTTAATGTGGAAAACTTACATATTATAACTTTGAATGTGAAACTGTTTTATTCAGTGTTTCTGCTGGTTATAATCAGCTGGTCTGTTTGCTATGGAGAGGAGAACACCTCTGAGGATAATTCAGCTGCTGGTAAAAACCTCCTGAACCACTGACACTGAAGGAATCCAAACCAGGAGACGCTGATGGTAATGGTGGTGAACACAACAACTCCCATGATCCCACACTACTTCACAATGTCACCAATGCCGTCTCTTGTTATTGTTTTGATTGAGAGACCCCTAGAGGCAGAAGTTACATACGGTGTGTTTAATTTGTAGCAGAGCAGCAAAACATCTTTGGAAGGAGGTTGGGGTAGAAGGTTCAACAAACAAACACAGTGTCTCCTGAACTTTACAAAGTGGTTTTAGACTGAACCAGATCTTGATAATAGAGGGAGCAGATCAGGAAACACTCCAATTAATAATTTTTGTTCTGGAAGAAACTGGTAAATGAAATGTTTTTTCACTGAGTTTTTGAGGACTGATCATTAAGCAATGTACATAAATAATTTTTCTTTTAAAAAGCCAACATGTTTGCCCCAGATTCTCCTCTGTCTCATTTCATTATAAGCTACTTCTCAGTTCTTTATAACATTTCTTGCCTGCATTTTTTTTGCGGTGTCTTTGTCTCCTGATATAGACCGATTGACTACACACACACACACACACACACACACACACACACACACACACACACAGAGACACCTATCTGATTGAGGCTGGTCGATACTCTTTCATTTGATTTCTCCCTTTTTTCAGCTGCTCTGATTGATTCCTTTTCAGTCTCTCCTCTTTCTGTAGTCCTTTCTTCACTCTCCCTCCCTCTCTCTCTCTCATACCCGTCTCTCTTTACACTTTATTTCTGCGATATGAGGAATTGATTATTGGACTCATTGAGCTTCTTCAGGACTTTAACCACTTTGCTCATAGTGGTTGTTTCCAGTCATTTTAACTTTATTTCAGGATGTTGCTATTTTCAGATACACTCACACAGCAGTGGTCCAGCTTCTATATTTCTTTCACTGGTCTGTCTGTCCTGCTGCTCATGAAGTCATTCTCTCTCTTTACACTCTCTGAACTCTCGGCCTCTCTCTGGCAGGGCGGGGCACCCCAGCACACCGTCGGGGGCGGGTCAGGATGGCGAGGAAAACCCGGCGGCGCTGGCTGAGAGCTGCTTCAGAGAGCTGCTGGGCAGGGCGGCCTACGGCAACATGAACAACGCCGTGCGACCCGTCTTAGTGTGAGTACCTGAATGTGAGCCAAGACCGCTGCAGTTTAAATGTTTTAAAGTGCGAGTGTCAAACTCTGAGGAGTAAAGCTCCACAGTCCAAATGAAGCAGAGGGGAGGGAGTTTAAATGTATTTATACGTGAAAAAATTTGACTGTTATGTAGATGCAGATTTTATGTCAACTTTGTGCAACAGAGACTGCAACCATTCATTTATGTTACACGTCATGTTCAAATGAGGACTGTCTTTTATCCCATTTATTACAATGTTTGTGACCTTAGGGTGTATTTTCCTTGACCTTGGTTTCTATTAAATACCATAGGATATGAAAAAATGTAACTCATTACAGCGACCATTGAATCTGCTTAAATTTCTTTCAAAGTAACATCTTTGTAAGGCAGAGGCATTAATAATTGGACCGCAATCTGGACCTGGACCTAGACCTGGACCCATAACCTACAAATTATCGAGAATTATTACATTTTGATGTCATGTTTCTATTTTAACTGGTGCAGCTTGTCTAGCCATTATGACACTGGTCATGTGACACTGCTCAACCAATCATTGTGACTTGAGTCAGTGCGCGAGATAGACACATAGGGGAGAGACAAGACAAGGGTCAGATATAAGTGGGGAAAGTGAGAAATAAGAGGGAGGGAAAGAGAAAAGGAGACATACCTCTTAGAATTTGAATGGATTACCCTATGTATTTTTCAAATTAGGGACTTTAAACAGCAATGATTGAAGTGACGGCGTCTGTATATAATCCAACGCGTTGCTTTAGTAATGAAAATCAAATATCGCTAAGCAACATTTAACTCTAACAACAGCTACTTCACTACTTCAGGAAACTGAGGTCGCTCTGAACATTGTTGCAATATGTCTCTTAAAATGACCTGAGCGCTCTTGATATTTGCTTTAGAGACAATTTAATATGAAATGAGGAGTTTGTGTAAATCTGTTACTTCAGCACCACGGACAGCGTCATGGTTTCATCAATACACAGCACACACATTTCTCATTTTTGATGACATTGGTCTGTATTTAATTCTCTTCACAACACAGCAGATTGTTTTGTATTGTGTATTTCTTTCTGATGCTGCTGCAGTTTTGCAGATTTCTTTGGAGTTTCTTTGGAAAAAATACAACAACTAAGAATCGTTCAACCTTTATGAGGAGGTGCAGAGTGATTTTTCCAAGGATTGTTGTGGTGCGGATTCACGACCACGTGACGGCAGACCTGTGTGAACTTGTGTTGGTGGAGGAATATCTTAAAATGACCGTAGACTGGTTACAGATGGGGTTACTCTAGTTCACCTTGTCATGTGTGTGTTAATGTATACCAAAGAAATTAGCAAAGTGGAAGACAGATGGATCTACCTTTGTATCGCACGCAGCGTCACCTGAGTGAATTGGTCAGGTGCGAGTGGCCTATGTTGGACTGTTAAATGGTGACATCACTGTGTGTGTGTGTGTGTGTGTGTGTGTGTGTGTGTGTTTTGTTTGTGGGTGTGTGTGTTGTTTCTTAGTGAATGTTAATGAACCGTGTGAATTTTCATTAGAGGTCCTACAGGGGGAAACACAGGGCTTAGCTCTCATACCGCAGAACAGAGAACAACAGACATGGAGCTACAAGGAAAGGCAGGAAATCCATTGTGGTCGCACCTTCTTTTTTTATTGTAGTCACTCACATCTCATCTCTCTCTCCTCCCCTCTCCTGCTGATGCACCATCTCAGGCTTTCAGTCTTTTTGTTTCCATGTCTCTGAGTTCAGCCTCGGTCGTCTCATGTTCCTTAATCAAACTATTGATTTGTGCTGGAACGCCAATTCTTATCTTCTTCAATAAAACCCCTCTCTCTCTCCACTCACATTTTAGCTAAATCAGAACATCAGTCCAGCCTTGTTTCTCTTCTGCTTGGCTTTATTAGCATACAGAACTACACCTTTCTGCTACACCCTTGCATTTCCAAATCCAGTAGTTGGTTGGGGTTGTGTTCACACAACACTGAGTCTCTGTAGAAAGAAAAAAAGGAGGAATGCCATTTTTTTTTTTTTTATCAATGCAATGTGCACAAAGATCTGCAGCAGGGTTCAGATTCATAACCTGCTTTATTACATGGTGGAGTCATGACACAGACAGCAGGAGTCAGGACAGTAAATAAACCTGTCGCCCAGTCTCACACACACACACACACACACACTCATCCAGACAGGCACACAATATATGCACACAGACACACTCACATTCATTTTCTCTCTCACTCACACACGCAGACACACACACAGACACACATATACACACACCTCTTCCTCACCGCAGACTCCCAGCACACAGAGGAAATTAAATGAGCTCTCTTATCACTCTGGCGGCTGCCGTGTGAACGCGGCACACTGTCGCCACCCGGTGACCGCGTCTCCCTCCTGGGATTTAAATGTCCTCGTCGCTGCTCCGATTGGCCGCGCCGCCTCGCCACTGGGCACGGCTCTCATAAATTGGACAATTACGGAGTGAACGGCCCAGACCCGCTGAGATTTTCCCTGTCGGTGTCTGTTTCTGCTCCGCTGAAGCGCTCTGAGTGCAGGCTTCACTCCGCTCCTTTTATCCTCAGCAGCTTCAGGAGGAAAGGCTCATTTAGACATTTAAATTAGTGTGTTTTGGTATTCAGTATTTTTAGCCCTGCTATCAGTGTGGCTCCAGGGATGCTGATGGTTAGTTAGTATGCTGGTATGACGGCCACGTCCAGAAAGATCTCAACAACTATGACATGATGGCCAGTTAATTTTGAGTAGTTATTCGTGGTCATGGTTCAGGATATACCTCTAAATACTATATGTTAGCATGTCACCATGCTAACCATGCTCCAGGTTAATATCTTAGCATGATATATATAAGAAGCTATGTGTTAGCATTTCTTTTTATTTATGCTGCTTTTTTGTTTTGGTTTTTGCAAAAACATTTTAAAAAAATGTTTTCATATTAACTTTTGTTACAAGGTATTAACATGTAGCAAAGAATGTTAACAGGCTAGCATGGTTCTGCTAAACTTACAGGACTACATTAGCATTTTATGCTAAGTGTTTGAGCATGAACACATGCTAAATATTCCCTTCCGAATTAATTGTATGCATGTTCACAGGCATCAAAGTGTTAAACGTCACACTATACTTGCTAACATTACTTAGCTTTATGCATATTAACAAGCAAACATGCTGAACATTGAAGCCTGCTCACTTACTGTGTTAACATGCAAAACATCAGGCATGCTGACATGCTCAAAAGCAAAATGTTAAATGCTAAAAGCTATGCTAAAATGCTTGTTAGCATTTTAATACCCACAGGCGTATTTTAAGTGAAAATGAACACATTAGCATGTTAACAAAGTTGTTCACCAAGGGGTGTAAATATACTCTATATGTGCTTTTTCTACATGGTGAATTTTGAGTATAGTTACATGCAGTCAAGCTCTGTTATCTGAGTGCAGTAGTTTTTTCCCTTTTTCCTTAGCACATACAGACGGGTGACAAATTTAAGGAGAATGCCTAAAAAACGAGTCCAAAGCGCATCGAGGAGGCAAAAGTAGAAAAACACAAAAATTCAACAGTATAGAACAGAGTTCACCTCCAGCATTGTCATAAGGTCAAAATGTTAATTAGTCTAATAGTTTGTTTATGACCAAATACCTGCAAAACTAATGACATTCCCATTATTTCAGATGTACTGTACTTTGTCCTAATTATCTAATGTTAACATGCCCCTGTGCCACAGTGTAGGCACGGCTGTAGACACTGTTTGTGGAAGGTGTGAGATCACTTTTATAAACAGATCAGGTCATCATGGATAGTAATAAAAACTGACAAGTTTAAATTGTGGTTAGAGGTTAAGTGTGAATACTACTTTCTCCGTAAAGGACCAACCTTAATGTCTCTAGTCCCCTGACATTTTGCGACACCATTGGATTAAATTTACCACCTGTTCACAAGAAATAGAAATCTCAAAATCTACCCAAAATAACAAATAGATGTACATGGTAAATAGTAGTTACAATAATGCATAAAAAAAAATCTCCAGTTGGGTCAATGTCTGTCTTCCCACTGAGGTCTGTTTAAATTGGTTTAAATCAGATTTGTACCTTTCCGTCAGAGGAAAGGTGCTGTAGGTCTATCACGTTGCACCTTTCAGGCTCTTGGCTGACGCACAGAAAACAGCATTTACACTGAGTGAAACAGTAGAATGAGCTTCAGCTCCTCACAATACAATCAATAGTAAGGTAGGTGCATGAAGGTCTGAGTCATAATGACCTGACGAGTTGCCACGTCTGTCACAACAGAGTAACACGAACTACAGAGAGAAGAGACAGAAGTTAAAGCAAGAATAGAGAAGTAAAAGGCTGGTGTTGTGTTTCGTGTTTGTGTGTTTTCGTTTACTTGAACTTAAATAACTTCTGACGAATTTCTTAAATTTGAACGAATGCATTACCAACAGTCAAAGTGTTGGTGTCAGGTCAATGTAAAAAGCCAGAGTTAGTGTTTTTCAGTTTCCATGTAAGACACACTTTCTAAAGTTTATAATTGGACTTCTATTTATCTCTTTATCTCTTGTAATTATTGGAGAAATTTGCTACCAGTGTCAATACTTGTTGCCCGAATTACCACAAATTTATGGCACCCAGTTTACTATAGCTCTCTACAAAATAGTTCTTCCAGTAACCTTTCAACTTCAAGTTTGTCATGTGAGTTATAAACATCTAAAACCATCAAGACAAAGCAAAGAAAACTTTTTAAATCCCCAACAACTTGACGGCTGCCCGTGGCATTCCCTGACAGTTTCCCATAATGGATGAAGAGGTTGTTCTCAGTGTGTCAGAGGTCACCACGGTCGTGGCAGGAAGACCTCAGCATTGCAAAAATATCGGCAGGCAGACAGTGAGCAGCCCTCCAGTGCACACACCACCTGTTTTTTCCATAAATGTTTGTGAAGCTTTAAGAAGCATCATCAGAGTGTCATTCAGA